TGTAGACTGGCCCTCAGTTTGGGTTTCTCTGATGTTTTTTCTCATGATTATACTGGGCTGTGGGAAGAATATCAGAGGCGAAGGATCCTTCTCTTCACACCAGATCAGGGGGTCCATGTTATCACCATGACGAGTGATCCCTGGTGATATTAATGTGGATTAAATGGGTAGGTGGGCTCTGCCAGGTCCCTCTACTCTAAAGTCACCATTTTTAGGCCTGAATCTTTGCAACAGAGTCAGTGTGTAACCCACACTCAGGGGAGGGGACCTGATCTCCACCTTTTGAAGGGAATAGTATCTGTACATATTATTTGGAATTCTTCTGAAATGAATATTTGTCTCTCCTTCCCTATTTGTTTGTTTGTTCAATCACTTATTTATATATTAATACAAACATCATTTTCATTCATCAAAATAATAAATGCTCTTATTTAGGTAAGGGGGTTAGGCCAGTACTTATGCTTTCAACAAAGTTGACTGTCCCCCATGACAGAGAATATAAAATCTGTGTGTGCTAAGTCGCTTAGGTTGTGTCCAACTCTTTGTGACCCTATGGACCATAGCCTGCTAGGCTCCTCTGTCCGTGGGATTCTCCAGGCAAGAATACTGGAGTGGGTTGCTGTGCCCTTCTCCAGGAGAACTTCCCAACCCAGGGATCGAATCCACATCTGTTACATCTACCTGCATTGGCAGGCAAGTTCTTTACCACTAAAACCTTCTAGGGGCTCCTAATGGACATAAGAACAAGGAACATTAAAAAAGATAGTTTAATCTCAGTTCTGTCACATATTAGCTATATAACCTAAGGCAAATTTCTTAATCTCTCTACTCAGCTTTCTTTTTAAAATAAAAACATATTAGCTACTAAAAGTACTATTATATAGAGGCATAAGGAATCAGTGAGACAATTCACTTTAGACACATAGCATAGAGTCTAATAGTTAATATTTAATAAATATTAGCTGTCATTTATTACATGATTCATGGATCATGGATCCATGCCTTGTCGTGGTAAAGCGGTTTGAGTAACTGAAGGAGGCTATAAGCCACGCTGTCTAGGTATGCAGGTCAAGAAGCAACACTTAGAACCCTGAATGGAACTACTGCTGCCAATAAATCTAGTGGAGGTGATGGAATTCCAGCAGAGCTATTTAAAGTTCTAAAAGATAATGCTATTAAAGTGCTGCACTCGATATGCCTGCAAATTTGGAAAACCCAGCAGTGGCCACAGGGCTGGAAAAGGTCAGTCCTTATCCCAATTGCCAAGAAGGGCAGTACTAAAGAATGTTCAAACCACTGAATGATTGCACTCATCTCCCAAGCTAGTAAGGTATGCTCAAAATCCTCCAAGCTAGGCTTCAGCATTAAGTGAACCAAGAACTCTCAGATGTTGAATCTGGGTTTAGAGAAGGTAGAGGAACCAGCGATCAAATTGCCAATATTTGCTGGATCATAGAGAAAGGAAGGGAGTTTCAGAAAAACATCTACCTCTATTTCATTGACTATGCTAAAGCCTCTGACTGCAGATCGTAACAAACTGTGGAAAACTCTTAAAGAGATGGGAATACCAGATTATTTAACCTGTCTCTTGAGAAACCTGTATGTGGGTCAAGAAACCTGTATGTGGGTCAAGAAGCAACAGTTGGAAACCTATATGGAACAACTACTGGTTCAGGATTGAGATAGGAGTATGACAAGGCTATTTATTGTCACCCTGTTTATTTAACTTATATGCAGAGCACATCATTTGAAATGCCAGGCTGGACGAGGTCCAAGCTGGAATAAGATTGCCGGAAGAAATATCAATGATTTCAGATATGTAGGTGATACCACTCTATTGGCAGAAAGCAAAGAGGAATTAAAGAGTCTCTAGATTAGGGTGAAGGAGGGGAGTGAAAAAACTGGATTAAAACTCAATATTAAAAAAACTAAGATCATGGCAACCGGTCCCATCACTTCAAGGCAAATAGAAGGGGAAAAGGTGGAAGCAATGACAGATTTCCTCTTCTTAGGCTCTAAGATCACTGTGGATGGTGCCTGCAGCCATGTGTAATTAGAAGACAGTTGCTTCTTGTCAGGAAAGCTATGACAAACCTAGAGAGTGTATTAAAAAGCAAAGAAACCACTTTGCCGACAAAGATCCATATAGTCAAGGCTATGGTCTTTCCAATAGTCATGTATGGATATGAAAGTTGGACAATAAAGAAGGCAGAGCACCAAAGAATCGATGCTTTCCAACTGTGGTGCTGGAAAAGACTGCTGAGAGTCCTTGGACAGCAAGGAGATCAAACCAGTCAATCTTAAAGGAAGTCAACCCTGAATACTCTTTGGAAGAACTGATGCTGAAACTGCAGCTCCAATATTTTGGGCACCTGATGCAAACAGCTGACTCATTGGAAAAGACCCTGATGCTGGGGAGAACTGAAGGCAGAAGGAGAACACAGTGACAGAGGACGAGATGGCTGGATGGCACCACAGAGTCAATGGACGTGAACTTGGGCAACCTCTGGGAGATGGTAAGCGACAGGAAGCTTGGCATGCTGCAATCCATGGGGTTGAAGAGTTGGACACGACTTGGAAACTGAACAACAAAAAAAATTACACGATTTACTTATGTTAATAAGTAAATATGTACATATGCATATGAGTATACACACATATACCTAGAGAAAGAATTAGTGGTTGATGGTATCCTTATGATTTTTTTTTTTTGCTTATTTGTACATTCTAAGTTCTCTGTAATAAATAGTTATCATTCTCCTACCAACAGAAAAAATAATAAAAGTCAGTTTCCAGATTACTAATACCTGACACTGCTCAAAGTGTGGAAAATGACCACTTTTTCATCCCAGGCCTGGGAGGAAAAGTTGCTAAATCTTTTCTGAAGAATGTCTTGGCAAGAAGTATCAGAAGCATTAAAAATTTGCAGACCATCTGACTCAGCAATTCCATTTCTAGCTATTTATCCAGATGAAAGTATTGTGTGGCCTATATGCACCAAGATTTATTCATACAAATGTTCAGTACATCAATTATAAAAGCAAAAATGGTAATAACTAAATCCTCTGTATGAATTATGGTCCTGTGTGGCCAAAAGAACATTTTGTAGAAAAGTGTTCAGTGAATTTTTTAAATGTTCACACTACATTTAAGTGACAAAGGCCAGTTATAAAAATTATGGCCAGCATAATTTTATTTTTGTAAAACATAGACACACACACACACACACACAGAGTTGTTTTAAAAATGTATCTAAAAGGCAAAAATTATTTTCTCAGGGTAGTTGGATCATGAGTGACTTCTTATTTTCTTATTTGAGTTTATCTGTATTTTCCAGATTGCCTACAAGAAACCTAAGTTATTTTTAGAAGTAGAAAAAGCCAATGCTATTTTTAACATGCTCATCATAGAGAATTTGGAAAATACAAAATATTATATAGAAGCAAATAAAGTTACTCCCAATTCTACCACTTACACTAATCATCATTAACAATTTGTTGTATTTCTTTGTCTTTTATATGAATTTGTGTATAATCTTTGCCACTCCCCCTCCCTAACCAATTTAGGATCATAACATATGTAATGTTTTCTAGCCTGCTTTTTTTTTTCACTTAACATTATGTCATGAACATCTCCCTAAGTCAAACAATTTTTAAAACAGTGTTAAAAAACAAAGACAAGTTAGTGAAGTGGATCTGCAGGAATTTATATACAAAGATTCATTATGAAGTGAAGGAAGCAAGTGAAGGAAGCAGTGTTACAGGATGGTCACAAAAAATATTCACCAAGCAGTTAATTTGGGTTATGTCTTATGAGGAGGAACTGTATGAAAATGTCTGGAGGTTTAATTTTTTAAAATAATATGCATATCATTATTATCTCTGTAATCAGAAAAGTAGTATAGATTTTAAAATAAATGAAAACCTCATTTTAAAGTGCTGTAGAATATTCCACTACACCCTAAAGTTCTCCTGTTAGACATTTAGATTTGTTTCAACTTTTTTGTTACCATAAATAATGCTAGGATGAATATCTTTGTTTTCAAGCCTTTTTCTGAGCTCATTATATTCTATGATAAATGTGATTTCTAGACCAATTTATGTGTACTATCTTAAAAGATTTTGCTTGAAAGGTATGGTGGTGGTGGTTTAGTGACTTGTGGCCCCACGGACTGTAGCCCACCAGCTTCCTCTGTCCGTGGGGTTTCCCAGGCAAGAATCCTGGAGTGGGTTGCCATTTCCTTCTGCAGTGGATCTTCCCGACCCAGGAATTGAAATGTATGCTTGTATACAAATGTACGCCTGTATATTGAGTAACAGATGTAACTTTCTTACTAGAAATCACCAGGGGCTTCTCTGGTGGCTCAGATGATAAAGAAACAACCCTCAATGAAGGGGACCTGGGTTCGATCCCTGGGTTGGGAAGATCTCCTGGAGAATGGAATGGCTACCCATTCTAGTATTCTTGTCTCGAGAATTCCATGGACAGAGGAGCCTGACAAAGAGTTGGATGTGACTGAGCGACTAACACAACAAGCACAACAATAAAAATCAAGACCCCTTAGTTTATGGCTTTGAATTTACTCAGAGATTTCTCATGGGAAAAAAATGCATTCTCTTTGGAAATGTATTCCAGATTCTTACTAGAAAATAATTTCTTAGTCCCAGTAGAAACTTTGTAACCTGGCTGAATACTCCACAATAGAGAATTAGAGGCAATAGATCAATGTTCTTGACTCATTAAGCTAAACATGACTTGGGCCAATTTACTGGTGATATTCTAATATGGAATCAGGAAAAGAGACTGTAAATGATAAAAATACATAAAAATTAAAAAGTCATCAATCCTTGTTTATCCTCTATTCTGTTAAAAAATAAAGTCATGCTCTTTTTAAAAAAGTAAGCTTTATTGATATATAATTCATATACCATAAAAATTATACAATTTTAAAGTACACAGTTGGATGTTTTTCAGTATATTCACAGACTGTGCAACCACTTTCTAATTTTAAAACATTTCACCATTCTTGCTTCGGGAAACTGTTCTCCCATTTTATAATGATTATACATACAAACTGCCTCAAATCCATTATCAAACAAGGCAATGAACAGACACAAGTAGTTAAAACAAAGTTTTGACCACCTGTTTAATCTGTGTTTGACATTTCTTTGGGTTTCTTAGTTTTTCAAGGCCCTGGCTTCCTTATCTGTAAAAATCAGATTGGAGTAATCTCACGAAAGGAGACTCTGTTTTAAATTTTACCTTTTTAGGTGGCATTCAGACTGCTCGCGTTTCATGGTAATCTCGGTACCATCACTTTGATGAGAGCCCAGCCCTGCAAATTCAGAAGAGGAATATGCAGATATCTTCATTTACAGATGCAATGAGATCTACGGGCAGAGAGACTAAACACCTAGTTACAGTTTGAGACTAGATATTTAACTAAGGACAGAGTGTTTTCCCATAGTTATTTTAGTTAAGGTTGGCCTTAGAGAACTTACAAATATCAGGATATAAGAATTCAGCAAAAATTAAAAATGCCCCACAACAAGGGACTTAGCTTCAGACCTTTAAATGCTTACCACCTTTAAGTGCAAAGAGAAATGAAAAGTTTGGTGGAAATTTTCTGAAATGTTTAGATCCAGCTCTGCTACTTTTCTGGCTGTGTCTCTGAACCTGAGATTTCTTAATTGTACAGTGTGGGGAACAATACCTACTTCCTATGGTGTTTGGTGGAATATGTTAGCGAGTGTTTATGTAAAGCATCTGTTACAATGTCTGACATCCGACAAGGGCTGTTGCTGTTGTTGTTCAGCTGCTAAGTCTGTTTGACTCATTGTGACCCCATGGACTGCAGTATGCCAGGCTTCCCTGCCCTCCACTATCTCCTGGGGTTTGCTCAAATTCATGTCCATTGAGTTGGTGATGCTATCTGCCCATCTCACCCTCTGCCACTGACAGTCATTTAATTCCCTTGGACCAGTTAATCTACCAAGAACATAAAAGTCAACAGAAAAGAGGTAAGAATACACATGTGGAAATGCATAAGTTGGTGAAATTAAGGATGAATTGAAAAAGCCATAATTGGCCTCCATAATGTATCAGTGATTTGTATTTCTTTTTTTTTTTTTCCCAGTGATTTGTATTTCAACATATGCTGGCTGCTTTATATTTAGAATGTTGATTTTAACTATTTCTTTCCTTTTTACTACATAAGGCTTGAGATTTCTAACATTATTTAAAGCTTCTCCCTAGGTGTGAACCCATCAATTTCCTAAAATATTCAACTGCATTGGTGATTATTGCTCCCATATGGGTTTAAAAATTCTGAAAAATTAAACAAACAAAAAACCACACTGTAAATTTGTGCAAGATAAGGTAACTGGTGGATAGCAAGTTGAGATAAAATAAAAGTACTGTAAATAATGTTCTGGAGCTATACATACTGAGAGTGCTGGAAAATTTCCTGGTGATGTTGCTTGATGGAGTCTTCATGGGATCCTGGCCAAGGATTTACTTTACTCCTCAGGAATTGTGCAATTTGGAAACTGAAGTTTCAATTTCACTTGTACTTAAGAGCTATTCTCTCGGCCATGTGTCGTCTTCTTTTTCGATGTTATTGATCAAAGGGCATGTTGTGTGCACTTAATGGGCAGCGATGGCACTCCTCCTCTTCAGAGTGGTGCCCGGCTCCTCCATCTATGGTGTGCCATCATCCACGGCAATGGGGAGTTTCAAGTGCTTCCCGAGGGGAAACGAAACAAAAACTGCAGCTGCAGAACAAGCCTCAAGCCCGGTGGAAACTATCTAACACCTCACACACCTTGGGTTTGCTTACAAAGTGAGAACTGGCCTCTTGCAAAGCAATTGCACCCCCAGGATCTTGCATTTGCCACTAAGGAGCCAGCTCTCTGCAGAGAAAGGAGATCTCAGAGGGGATCAGAAAGGTGGAAGGTCACTGGACTGGGTCCTTCTTTGTGAAGCCAGTAGAGCAAGATCCTTAGCTATAGGCCATAACTCTGTCCTCAGACCTGAGAAAAGGAGGGTGGAAGAGGACATAGGGACAGGACAAGACAGAGGTGGTAGCTGTTTGTGCGTGTCACTTCACAAAATAGATTAGCCAGAGGGATCCTTAAAAACACCCAGCTTGAGGACTCCTACTGGAGTAGGCTGAAAAGCCAGAGAGAGAAGGGAACACTTCAGAACTGTATAGTTAGCAGTAGACCTGGCTCTGGAATCCACCAAAGTATCTGTCTGCCTCCCCATGCCATTCCGATGCATGTTCCTTGTAAGAAATGATGGTCAGGTATGGCACTGGTAATGTTTCAAAGTGGACATGGGGGCATATTTCCACTTCCACTTCTTGTGGTGTCCTTCATTCCCAGTCCCTAAACAAAGACCCCATGCCTGACATTACCCTCCAGTCACCCAAGAGTCCCACCCACTGTAGCCCACACCGCCCTTTTCTCAACATTCTGATGACAAACAGCTCTAGGGAAAGCTATTCCTTTAAGCAAATTCACACCAAAATTCTAACTGGTACTTTTTTTCCCTAATAGCTTCTCAGTGGGGTTATTTTGGAACCCAGATGCATTTCTAAATGTTAAGGTAGGATGAAGAAGGGATTTTTATCTCTTCTAAGCGAGTCAGTCTGTAAGGTAGACTTAATCATGGTTTTGCTCTATTTCAAGTCATAAAGTGTTCAGGATGCAGGGAAAGGCAAGCTGGTGAGTAGCAGGGCAAACGGGAAGATGTCCTTTGTCCGAGACTGGAGGCACTGTGAACCGTCCAGGTATTAACCCAGCAAAGCTCTCTGAAGTTTGGGGAAATAATAGCTGTAGGTTCCATTTGGAATCTGGAATTTTAAATGGAAGAAGGGACTTCCAGTGGACCCCTTCAAGCCAACTCATGGCTAAAACCCCACAATTTTAGAGGGAACGTCTGATGGAGTCAATTTTGGTGAGAGTTTTTCCTAAATTGGATTACACTGAAGAAATAACACAGCGTATGACATCCAAGGAGACATTAATCATTTAAAAAAACATATTTCAGAGATTTATTTGAATTCAACCTAAGATTACTTCCAAATTTAGTTTACATAAGATAGTGCTGGTATTTTACAGAAGGTTCTTATATAAGACAAAATTAAATTCAGGATGGTTTTCTCTGACTAAAAGACTACAGGTGGTAGGGGGAGGAGGGTAGCAAAATCAGGAGAAGGGAAATTGAATAATGAGTAGGTCTTTGTCAGAGCAGAGTGGAGCGATGTGTACCTGGTAAAGGAAGAAACTGGTGACAAAAGATAGGGATTCAAGTCCAAGAAAAGTAGTCACAGTGGTTGTGTGGCTAGAGAGAGGATAATTAGGAAGGAGGAAGGGAGGGACAGTGGAAAGGAGATCTTGACAGGACGGTCGCTGGACAAGTGACAGACACTGATTCTTTCTCCAACCGGCACCTCTGACAATTCCCTCCTTTCCTTTTTTTCTCTCAGTGCAAGTATTTCTCAAAGATTAGGATGGACTTTCCTTCTCACTCACTGCACTTCCTCAGGAATAAGAGTTGTTTATACAACCTCAGTTGCCAGAATACACAAACTAAATTAAGATTTATATCCCAATACAAAATAAAAAGTTTAAAGTTTGGAAAAATAAAAACAGACAGAAAAAAGATTTGCATCTCTAGCTTGGATCTCTTGCTTTTTCTCTAGTTGAGTTTCCCATGGCTAATCATCCCGGGCTGTTTAACCCACACAATGTTAAATTTGTTTTGTGTAGTCCCATACCTAAGATGCTTTTTCTGGGACTTCCCCTGCTATTCCATTGGTTACAAACCCTCTTTCCAATGTAGGGAATCCAGGTTCTATCCCTGGTCGGGGAAGTAAGATTTCACATGCCTCTGGGTAACTAAGTCCACACAGGTAACTAAGCCTGCGTGATGCAACAAAGTGCCCATGCAGCCAAACTTTTTTTTAAAAATGTTTTTTTCTTCAAAATTGAGTTGTACTTCCCCAGCCAACTCTCCTATCTCTGATGATTCTGACTTTTAGGAAATCTCTCAAATCTCTCAGAGTCATGGTCAGATTATTTTATGGTGCTTGTGTTGGTGTCTTTAGGTTTTCTGGTGAGGTCTTAATTTGTATCTTTTTGGCTAAATCCCATTAACTGGATTCTTCTTCGTGGTTACATATTCCACTGAGGGCTTTAAAATTCTGTTCCTTCCTAGCACTTGACAGTGTTTGCCAGGTAATATGTGGACATTTTAAATAGTACCAATAAACTAAGTTGTGTACGTAGAAAAACTTGACACTTTTATTTGTTAGAAGGTAAGCTCTTTCTCATGTTAGAAATGCAAGAGCTGCCAAATGGAAGACAGGAGTTGTTGAGTAAGATGAGTTCTCCTACTTCTTTGGGAGGGAATATGGCAACTAGTGTAATTAAACAACTCTATGGATTTATTTCAAGGGATCACACATTAAACTGTAGAAGTTAATATATTCAAAAGTTCTAGAAGGTTTTCAAAATAGTAATCAATATTTACATAGCTCCTTATGCTACCAAGCATATTAACATAATTGTTTCACTTAATACTTTTAACAACTTCAGGTGTTAAAAATTCTCATTTTAGAGTTGAAGACACTGATGATCAAAGGTCATGCTGTAAGTGGCAAAGCCAAAATCTGACCTCTGGTTGGATGCCTTTCAGGTTAAAAGAGAAAGGGCAAATGTGAAAAGACAATGGCATCAGTTACCTTGAAGAGTCAAAAGTGCTAGAGATCTTTGGTTATGAGGAGAAGCTCATTCAGTGTAGATCAGTCTTTCCGCTAACAGCCAGAAGATGATCTAGCTGATGTCTAGTGAGTGTGATCATGAGTGAAAAGCACTGGTTAAAGAACACTCATCAGGACCCTAACTGATGGACTGCTTACTTTTTTTCTTTCTGGCAGGGTGACAAAAGATAGAAAATGAGTAGTGTGGCATCTATCCAGTTATCTAATACAGATGCAAATATTTTTCTTGCTAAAGGAAGGAAATCTCCTATTGGAACACTGTGAAGGTATCAAGCAAATTGCCAGCTAGAATGTACTCATAGATTTGATAGAATACAATGTCTGGACCGTTTCTTCATTATGGGGCTTTAGATTTCCCCCATAGGGTGGTTATACATGTTTTATGAGAAGATGATTTCCCCCTGGGAAGTAGAGCAGCGTTAACTAAGATAAATAAGAATCAAAAACAGAAGCCAATGGGTAACCGGGAAGAAGGATTTTTAGATTCCCTAGAGTATATTCTAGGCTAAATAACATCTGACCCCCAAATTATAATCTGAAAAGACACATGTAAAAAGTGTTTAAAGCAGCACTGTTTACAATAGCCAAGACATAGAACCAACCTAAATGTCCATCGACAGACGAATGGATGAAGAATGAATACTATACATGTGGTATTCCATACAGTGGAATGTCTTGTTGTTGAGTCTCTAAATCGTGTCCAACTCTCTGTGAACCCATGGACTGCAGCATGCCAGGCTTCCCTGTCCTTCACTAACTCCCAGTTTGCTCAAATTCATGTCCATTGAGTTGGTGATGTTATCCAACCCTCTCAGCCTCTGCTGCTCCCTACTTCCTTGCCTTCAATCTTTCCCAACATCAGGGTCTTTTCCAATGAGTCAGCTCTTCACATCTGGTGGCCAAAGTATTGGAGCTTCAGCTTCAGTGTCAGTCCTTTCAGTGAATATTCACAGATATCCAATGAATATTCAATGAACTATTACTCCCCCATAAAAAGGATGAAATAACACCATATGCAGCAACATGGATGGATGTAGGGATTACCATACTAACTGAAGTTAAGTCCAAAAGAAAAAGAGAAACACCATATGATACCATTTACATGTGGAATCTAAAATATAACATAAATGAACCTATCTATGAAATAGAAATGTTTCCCTGGTGGCTCAGCTGGTAAAGAATCCACCTGCAAGGTGGGTGACCTGGGTTTGATCCCTGGGTTGGGAAGATCCACTGGAGATGGAAACTGCTACCCACTCCAGTATTCTGGCCTGGAGAATTCCATTGATTGTGTAGTCCATGGGGTTGCAAAGAGTTGGACACAATGGAGCGACTTTCATTCATTCATTCATGAAACAGAAACAAACTCACAGAGAGAACAGACTTACGGCTGCCAAAGGGGAGGGACCTGGGGGAAGAGGGACTGGTGGTTTGGGATTGTTCAGCTGTTGTGTCTGACTCTTGCAATCCCATGGATTGTAGCCCACCAGGCTCCTTTGTCTATGGGATTTTCCAGGCAGGAATACTGGAATGGGTTGCCTTTCCTTCTCCAGTGTTTGGGATTAACAGATGCAAACTATTACATGTAGAATGGATAAACAACAAGGTCCTGTTGTATAGCACAGGGAACTATGTTCAATATCTTGTGAAAAAAACCATAATGAAAAAGAAAAAAATATATATATAACTGTATCACTGAGAGGTACAGCAGAAATTAACACAACATTGTAAATCAACTATACTTCAACAAAATTAAAAAGATAACTTTATGCCTTACTTAAAGTTTGCATATAAATTGAGAACATGTTTCTACACTAAACAGCATACAATTTAAAAACATACTGTTTCAGTTATCTATTGCCGCATAACAAATCCAACCTGAAAAGTAGTGGCTAAAACCACTGGTTTGTTATTTCTTACAGTTTGGTAGGGTGACTGGGCTCAGCTGGGCAGTTATTCTGTTCTACCTGATGCCGGCTAGGGACGCTGATGTGGGGACATTCAGCAGGTGGTTACACTGAGTTGGAAAGTCCAGGAAGGCTCCACTCACATGACTGGCTCCCTTGGTGCTCCTCCAGAAGCCTCTTCCTCTCCCTGTGGTATCTTATTTAGCTGTATCTAGCTCAAGCTTCTTTACAGCATGGAGGCTGGCTTCCCCAGAGAGAAACGCCAGACTTCTCTGTCTGGGGAAGAAGTTGCCAGACCTTTCAAGGGCTAAGCCCAGAAATGGCACAGGGCATCTATGGAAGACACAGGTCATAAGATGAGGAGAGGGAGGGAGACTTCATCTCTTGATAAGAGGAGTGGAAAGCATCATGGTAAAACTGAGGTAGGTTGACAGAAATTGTTGCAGCTACCATTGGAAATAATTGACCACCCTCTTTTTACATAAGTACGATTAAAAATAATGAAAGCAGAACGGTTAGTTCAGAAAAAAATAAAAGAACTGAAATATATTTAAATAGTGACTCATTATTTTATCAACTGTTTTTCTCTCTGATCATTAGTCTAAGTTTGGTCTTGAGCCTTTTTGTGTTTTTAAACTTACAACAGAAACTAGCTTGGACCTGACAATATAAGAACATCTTGCAGCTTAAGTATCATAAAGGGCCAGAGAAATATTTGAACTGAAGGAAAAAGAATCTTAGAGCCTCAAAGTAAAGTTGTAAAGATGTTCTCAGAGATAAACATCAAGCCGGTCAGACTGGAAAAGTTTTTGCTAGTTTTTCCATTTGTAAAAATTCCCAGCCCCAGGCAAAAAAAGGAATAGTTTGCTACATCAGCTCTTCAGATATTCCAACTGATAGGAAATTAAATAACAAATTCTGGAATTAATATATGAAGATGACAGTTTTTCTCACTTAAATACAAAGTAATAGTCAATGGACTAATAGCTGAGTTGAACAAAAATTAGGAGACAGAAGAAATAGTTCTAACTTTTATTAAAATAAGCTAAAGGGCATATTCAGGTTAAGTGATATATTCGAATATAAAGTCACCAAAGTTTTTAATCCCATTCTTAGGTTTTACAAATATCTTAAGATAAATTAAGAAATATTATGTAAATTTAACATAATACAACTAAAACTGTTTGCAGTACATTAGATCTAGAAGTATAAATTGTCATTATGCTAACTATCAAATACTAATTGAATCACAGCTATAAGTTCATGTGGTTTGAAGCAGACCTGCCTTTATACAAACATGTCCTAAAATCATAAGTAGATACACAACATCTTCAAAGTAACAATATATAGAGAGACAGTCAGTGACTAGTGTTCAGGACAGAAAAGAAGAATTGTAACTTTATAAATACAAGTCATTTATATGCCTGTTAAACAGGATAACAAATTCTTGGCTTGATTATAAGCTTTAAGGATAAGTTAAATACAAGGTTGACTGAGCCTGTGTCCCTGTGGCTGAAATATAAAACAGATAAAATTCAGTTCTATTTGTAGAATTCCATTAAGTTATCATTTACTGAAACTACCAAAAGTTTTACTGAAGTTAGAAATGTACTGAATGTTCTTTGCCTTAATGGATATCTTAAATTAGTATTTCACAGCATATGTCATTTCAAAGCTAATTAGAGTTAGATTAAAACAGCAAAGAATGATTACATATTACTCTGCATTTTGAAAGCACACCTGTTTGATTTACATTAATTAAAAAAATCCAGTGATAATTAGCTTTAAAACTTAATTTTGTTTCTCAAATTGACCTCTGTTAGGTGGTTGTCTGCAAACTGCTATTCATTTGATAGAACTAGCAGAGGGTAGTGTGTGTGTGTGTGAGTATGAAAGAAAGCAGGCGAGAGAGAGAAAGAGGGAGATCTCCTTGCTCCTGGCTAAATCATAAAGAGCAAAATGTGTTTTGATATTGTTAAACAGTCTCTAGAAAACTATTTTGGTGGAAGATAAGTCCAAGACACAAATACCATGTGCTACAGAGAATCACAGAAGTTTAGAGCTGAAGGGGAGCCTAACACATTATCTCATTTATCCACTTTCTTATTTTACAAATAAGGAAACGAAGGCAAAACAAAGTTACATATTGTGACAAGGCTACACAGACCTAGAACCAGTGTCCTAACTTCCAGACCAAACGGTATTCCTGTTATTCTCTAAACCACCACTCTTGATGACTTTTCATCTTCTGTCAAAACAAGAATGATGTTGTTGAGTTAATGATTCTAGTAGAAAACAAATACACATATATACCCAGAACACTACTTTAACTTGCAGGTGTTAATGTCTTAGTGACATCCTAATGTCTTAACTATATGCATAAAAGTCTATATACTTGTGATTTTTCTATTATCTTACACTAGTACCCCAATTTTCCAAGATCCTACTGTTTGTGGAATTTTAGTATCATTCCTATTTTGGTAGTACGTTTTAATTTAAAATATATACTTACATTTTTTGGAGAATTCTGTGCCATTCAAGCTGTTCCAAAACCAGGATTGGAAATCGCTGGTGGTAACAAATGACAAAGAAAGTGCCACCTTTTAAAAAAACCATAATTCTATGGCAAGTATGAACAAGGACCTTACATGTTCGGCACTGAAAATTTTTCATCTTATTAAAAAGAACATATTAATTTTCTTATGTCCTGTAGTTTGGGGACCCTGCAAGAGCACTGGAGGACCGTGAGAGAGCGCCTTAGCAGAGGGACCCTGTCTCTGCTCGCTTCTTCATCCCTGCACTCTGCTGCTGCCCTTCACTCAGTCACCTCCCTAATCCAAAGCATCTGACCGCTGCCTCTTGAATTCCACTTTTCAGTGGTTCAGTCTTGTTAAGACAATCTTTAAAAAGTGACCCCCTCAAGGGCTTTGTGGTTGGAGCAAGTCAGAACAAATGCATGGATATATCATCAGGACCAAAATAGGGACTAAAGACAGAGTCCAAGCAAACAGGCCTACGGGGCTGATGTCCTCTCTACATGTTACGTGTTAGACTTTCTTCTTCCCTGAAGAAGCAGCAGCGCTAAGAATAAACAAGGCCTGCATTTCTAATTGTCAAGTGCCCTGAGAAAGGAAGGAAAGAAAGAAGAATGAAAGAGAAGGAAGGGAGGAAGGAGAAAGAAAGAAAAAGAAAGAAGGAGAGCAACTTGGAGAGTCTCAGGTATGTGTGTGTGGAAAGTGAGAAAACCAGGGCGCCAAGAGGTC